GTGGTGAACTTACCGTCAAATGGTACCCCTATCTTGAGTTAGCAACCCCGCACCGATTCGGTAACCCTACCTTATTTTGGTAACCCTACCATGCCATGGTAAGTTGGTGCTGTTCCCTCAGAGATACCAGGGCTGTTTGAACACCCCTTACTGGCGGACAGCGGGCACGTGATGTGGGGCGATGCGGAGCCATGGGCACCTTTGACAACCATACCTCGATATGGTAACCCTACCTTCATGCAGTAACCCTACCGTGCCATGATGAGCCTGTGGAGCTCCCTGAGAGACCGGGGCTGCCGAAAACACCCCTGCTGGCGGCACAGCGGGCACGTGGTGTGGGGCGATGCAGAGTCGAGACCGAATAACACCGGCACGTGCGCCACAGAGCAAGCACAGCCCATACACACCCTACTCCGGTGGGAACCCCATGATAAGTCTATGCAGTTCCCTCAGAGACCGGGGTTGTCGGATCACCCCCTGCTGGCGGCACAGCGGGTACGTGATGTGGGCGATGCGGAGTCCCAACCCAAAGAAGAACCGTACCTTGCTGCTAGTAATGCTACCTTGGTGGTAACCCTGTCTGGATGCAGTGGTAACCCTACCGTGGCATGATGAGCCTGTGGAGCTCCCTGAGAGACCGGGGCTGCCGAAAGACTCCCTGCTTGGCAGCACAGTGGGCACGTGATGTGGGGCGATGCAGAGTCCAGCCCAAAGAAGACCGCACCTTGGTAGTAACCCTACCTACCGTGCCATGATGAGTCGGTGTGAGCTCCCTTAGAGACCGGGGCTGCTGAAACACCCCCTGCTGGCGGCACAGCGGGTACGTGATGTGGGGCGATGCGGAGTCGAGCCCAAAGAACACCCTACCTTGGTGGTAACCTTAGGGGGTGGGTGGTAACCCTACCTTGCCATGATGAGCCTGTGCAGTTCCCTGAGAGACCGGGGATGCCGAAACACCCCCTGCTGGCGGCACAGAGGGCACGTGATGTGGGGCGATGCGGAGTCGAGGCCGAAAAACACCGGCACGTGCGCCACGGAGCAAGCGCAGCCACGACAGAAGATGTGCGTGCAGGCGAGAGACACCGGGTCAAAGGGCACCTCCTGGTATGACAGGTAAGGAGGACAGGGGGAGAGAGAGGGAGGGAGGGATGAAGGCACAGGGTAGGAGAGACGGGCACGGTGGGCGACGGAGCAGCACAGCCGCGGACAGAAGATGTGCGTGCAGGTCTAGGGAGATGGGGTCTAAGGGGACTTTCCTGGAGGGGTTGGGAGTGTATGGATGGGTGGAGAGTGGCGCGAGGGAAAGGGCGGGGAGGCGGGTGGGGATGCATGCGTGGCAGCACAGGCGCGGCAAAAAGAGGCGTGTTGCAGGCAAGCGACACATGTGGGTCTCGCCTCCTGCCTCATAAAGGACCTCCTGGTGTGGTGGAGACGGGTGAGAGTGGCGGGGGGGAGAAGGTAGGAGGCGGGTGGGAGAGGGTAGGAGGCGGGTGGGAGAGGGATGCATGCGTGGCAGCACAGCGAGACTAAGACCACCGAGGGCTCACCACATCAGGAAACCCATGGGGCTCACCAGGCAGACGGGGCAGGTGATGTCCACCTTTTGCCCGGCAAGGCACGCACAGCAACACATGGGGCTCAAAACATGGGGCAGTGCATGAAGCAGCGCATGGGGCAATGCGTGGGCCAGTGCACGAGGCAATACATGGGGCCTCACCAGGCAGACGGGGCAGGTGACGTCCACCTTTGCTCTGAACTCCGCCTTCAGCAGCAGCTCCGAGCCGAGGAGCGGACACACTGACGCTGCAACGCCACTCCCCTGCGCTCCACTCTTCTCAGTTCCACTTTTCTTGCTTCCACTCTTCTCGGCGCCTCTCTCCCCTCGTGGCCCCATCCCCTCTGCTGCACACGCCTTCAAGCTCTCCATTCCCCTCTTCCGTCCATTCCTGCCTCCTCCTTCCTTTCCTCCTCCCAATCCTTCCCTCTCCTCTCCACGACCTCCTCCGTGCATCCCTCTCCTCTCTCCCTCCATCACAAGCTCTAGATTCGCCACCATCGCAGTCACTTCGATGAGCAATGGCGACCGTACGGTTCGCCCCTGGAGGCGCCTCACATGATTCACCTTCTCCCATGATTCCGGGGTACCGAGCCCATCGCATACGCTGAGGCACGGGCAGAAGCTCGGGCTGAGGCTCGTTCTGCGGTGCACCTTGATGTATTTCTTGATGATCTTATGCGTAGCGAGGAAGCTTATAGCGAGGTGTTCCAGAAGGCTGCTCGCTGCGTGGTGGAGGGCCGCTGGCTTGTGCGAATGCCAGCGCGGATTCCAGCCACCGTGTCCGCCCGTAGAGAAGAGCTGACGTGGCGAGAGCACGTGACACATGAGCTGGAGCCCTCTCGCGTTGTGACAGCTCAGCAGCCGCGTGGCAGCGGAATTAAAGCTCCGCTCGATGCTGATTAACTCAGCTTCTAGCAACCCAAAAAACTCCGCGTCGCACTGCGCGCAGCCACCAGCGACATCCGCCGCTGCTGGTGGCCCGTTTTCCCGCCACCCCCTCCGCGACCATGTTCGCTGCTGGCGCAGAAAGCGCGGAAAGCTCCCCGCGGGCGCATGTCGTTACTGCGTCGCAGTTCGCCACGGAAAGCTTGAACTCCGCCTTCGCCTCTTCCCTCCCCGCCTCCGCCGCTGCCCTCCCTGCATCCGCTTCCGCGCCCCCGTCCGCGTACAGCTCCGCCTCCGCCGCGTGCGGTTCCGCCTGCGCGTGCAGCTCGGCGCGCAGCGCGCGGGAGGAGATGCAGCGGCGGAGAATCTTCTTTAGCGCGCGGTAGTTCACCTGCGGAAAGCGCGCGGTAAGGTCTGCGGGAAAGGGTGGGCCGAGGGCGAGGAGGGGGACGAGAGGGAGGGCGAGGTTCAAGGAATAATAGGCGTTGTCGGACAGCGTAAAGAGCTGCTAGAGAGGACGCTGCTGCCTATAGTCGTCAAGAACGACGGATTCCGTCGGACGGACGTGTCGCCGCCTGACTGAGTTTCCTCAAAAGTTCCAGTACCATCGAAGCTATCAAGCTTGCTAGTAACAAATCATCGCCACGTGATGTTACTTAGTACCTGTCGATTCTTGCAGGCGATTCTGATAGCTCGCAAATTCTTTCCCGAATTTCATGGCGACGAGCTTCCTTTGGACTTGAGCGAGATTTCCTTCACGTGGCGGTTCGAAGATGGCGCGATATGAACGTCTTAACGTTAGGGACACCGCATCAAGTGGCGCAGAGGCGAGAACACGCGCAGAGTTACCGAGCATTCACACGGACGGTAAGGCATCGAAATAGCCCAAACAAAACGAGAGTTTATAGAATTCACAAGGGAATGTGGGCAAGAAGCCATGGGAGGTTGCATTCATCAAGCTGTCATGTATTGACGGGATTCAGAAACCAGTGGATTCCTGATTTGCTTTTTCCAGTCTAATATCGTGCCACAAATTTGGACCTTCTTTCGTTGACTGGTTACTGTTGCTACATAATTGTCGTCAGACATTCGTTTACGTTTCCGTTTTCGCGGTGGCACACATAACAGCCAATGGGCTGTTTGCGACAGGTATCGCTACTTGGCGAGTACCGGGTTGGAGAGCAGTAGCTGAAGCGACGCACAACGAATCCGCGCTGCTGACTTTCCCACGGTAGACGGTTGCGGTTCTGCCAGTCAGCCGCAACGCAACAGCTAGGTGAGGTGATGAGCAGCTGTACCGTAACCTACTGGTAGTCGAACCAAATTCACTGGATATTCAGCGAGCCTGTTATTCGTCCAGACTACGTTGACGTGGCATTCCCGGATCATCAAAAGTGACGCTGATTCGACACGCTGAGGTGTTTTTCCGTGTGAATGAATATTCGACGCACCTAAAGTGATAAGCTGCTGAGCCGAGTCAGCGTAACCTTGCTTTGCTTGCACGTTTTCCAACAGAGCAACATGAAACGGAAGCACGTTCCTCGCCACGTCGTCACATCATCATTGCGCCTAACAAGCCGAAGCACACCTGACAATCCCTAACCAGACCACGCAGGGGCGCCACAACCCCCGAACCTAGCCAGCCAAGCAAAACAAAGACCAAAGCCACGTCAAGCGTCGGAACCTGGTCCCTTACACCGCAAATCACGGCAGCTAATTGTCCAGACGAGAATGCCCAAACCAAGAAACGTGGCCCGTGATTGGGCAGACGTTTGTGGTACAAGAGACTGTTCATTGGCTCTTGGCAGACTGCCCATATGCCAGAGAAAGAGCTGAAGCTGGTGGGTGTCTCCCTCCCTCCTAGCCAGAATTCAAGGTTCCTCTGTTGACAGATTTCACTTTCACTTTCCTCTGATATCCTGTTTCCACTTCCACTTTCTACCTCTCCATTAGACACTCTATTCTTTCAGTTCAGACTCCTGCCAGTCTAGGTCCCGATTACAGTTCACCACATCTGTGATCCTTTGCCTACATTCGTGTTGTCCATTAGGCGTTGACCGGCCTGTAAGCGGAAGAGCAGTGGAGATATAGAGTGTAACTTGCAATCATCGACGTTTTGATTGATCTGAACAGTTACTACGAAGCTTTGCGAGACCAGACTTTGCGGAGGGGAGGCACGACGTAGCTTGCTGTCTTCGTGGTTTTAAGACGTCTTAAAGCGTTCCTAAAGGCTTAAGCAACAGCCATCTGTCGCCAGCATGAAATTCGGCAAGACTTTCCAGAGTTACCAAACTCGTTTGCACGAGTCATCAGGTAAAGGGATTTTCAGATTGCTATAACCTCACGAGTTATCACCCTCGAATCATCCCGCGCGTTGAAATACTTCATTTTGTTCGCTTCGCTCGTTCGCTTCTGTCCTCCGTGCAGTAACTCAATGAATGCAGAAATCCCGTCCAGGCTTGCTCAGGTTGACTACCGAGCTTTCTTTTGAGTCGACTCAAAAATCATATCGTTTTCTTCCCTTTTGTTCGCTTCTGTCCCTCATGCGAAAATGCAGAGATCCCATCCAGGTTTGCTCAGGTTGACTACCGAGCTTTGAAGAAGATTCTTAAGCGATGCCTCTCCTCGCGAGCTCACAGCGACGCCATTCCAGCATGCGCGCCCAGCCCGCCAGAGGACGCTTCCAAAAACGCCCTCAACTCCGTCAACCCCGTCGACGTTATTAACTCCGTCAACTTTGACGCTGTCAAGCCGGCGGCCGGTTGTCCTCAGTGCGACGACGAGTTCTTCAAGCTTCTGGAGGAAGAGCTGCGAAGCATCGAGCGAAGCTTCACTCGCGAGGCGGCTCGCGTCATCAGCTGCCATAACGCGCACGGGCTGTCGGCGATACTTTCGCGCTTCTCCGATTACAGCAAGTAAGCAGACTGTTTTTGTTTGGATTGTTCTCTCAGTTCACTTTTGTTTAGCCCTCACCCTCGCCCTCACCTCCCCTCCCCTCCCCGCCCGTCCCCTCCCTCACCTCCCCTCCCTCTCCCCTTCTCTATCGCTTTCTCATATCCCCGCGCTGCAGGCCAGTTGTCAGGTCCGAGGTCATGTACCGTGCAGCGTCGGGTTGACTCAAAAGTCAACTCTCTATCCCCCTTCCGCTCCCGCTTTCCATTCTCCTCTCCCCCCCCGGTTCACTTCTCCCCCCTCTTCCCCCTTTCTTTCAGGCCCGAGGTCATGTACTGTGCAGCATCGAGCCTGCTGGAGCACCTCGCCCTCAGCTACCTCGCTACAAGGAAAATCGTTAAGAAGTACGTGAAGGTGCACAGTAGTTCTGTGAAAACGGGGGTCAGTAACGGGGATGTGTCGGACATGGCTGAGAGCCACGGAGCCGGCGGAAACGGCGGAAACGCGGAGCAACTGGAAGGAATTCGGCTGCTGCAGCAGCGCATTTTACGGTCGCCTCTCATGCTGGAGCTGACCGCGTTGCTGTCGAACCTGAGCTATGCGCTCGAGCAGAAGCAGCTGAAGCTGCAGCTGAAGCAGCAGCAGCAGCAGCAGCAGCAGCAGCAGCAGCAGCAGCAGCAGCAGCAGCAGCAGCAGCAGCAGCAGCAGCAGCAGCAGCAACAGCAGCGGCATCAGGGCTGCGGTCATGGTGAAGCAGGTTCCGGCTGCTCGCCAGCACCGCTCACCAGGGGGGAGAGGCGCGAGCAGCGGCAGCGCCAGCAGCTGTTCGGGTGCAACCACCATCACATGCACCGCTACTGCCACGACCCCCGCTGCCCGGGGTTTGACCCCCAGCGCAGCAAGGAACACTGCGACCGCAAGTGGCGCTACCAGCACCTGCGCTGGCTGCACATTCTCGCGCCCATGCAGAGCACCTGGACGGGCGGCGGCGGGGGGCGCGGCAGGTGTTTTTTCAGGTAGGCTGCCGTGGAGCCCGGGGAAGGGGCTTGCTGATGGCCGTTCAGGCGATTCTCCAGGTGGTTTCTCAGGTGGGGGGAGTGGGAGTCCTGCTGCGGTGAGGGAGGTGGAGGAGCGTGTGTGGAGCGATGAGGAGGACGGTGACGAGGAGGAGCAGGTGGAGGTAGTGCCTCTAACGGAATGTGGGTGTAGCTTGGACCTTTTTGAGGGTTCTGCTGGTTCATTGGCAAGGGACCAAGTGACCGAACCACAGCTTATGGCTGAAAGCGGTGGCAGTGGTGCTGTTGCTGGTGGTGGGGGCGGCAGCGGTGGAATGGGGGTATTTGGAAGCGGAAACAGCATCGGCAGTGGCAGTCAAGGTCAAAGCAGCTCGGAAGGGGCGCTGAGCGCGGGGGTGGGTCTGGGCGACAGGGGCTTGGTAAACGAGTGCAGCGATGGTGGTGGTGGTGCTGCTGCTGATACCATGTGGAGCTGTTTCAGCAGCAGTGAGAGTCTGCTTGGGGGTCAGAGTGTTGGGAGTGAGAACCCAATGGCTGTCACCTCAGGTGGAACTCCAGAGCATTTGCCAGGGCAGGAGCCGCAGCAGGAGGGGGAGGAGGAGGAGGAGAACCAGCAGCAGTCAGAGCAGGCAGAGCAGTCAGAGCAGGCACACCAGCAGCATGAGCAGCAGCATGGGGGGTCGGAGCAGGTGCTGGAGCTACAGCTGAGGCCCGAGTTCCACGCCCACGTGGAGTTCAAGTGCCCCGTCTGCCTTGTGAGTGCTGCTTCCCTGCTTCGGTATCCTCATTCTCGTGCAGCATAAAGTCACGCATTGAAACGTGGACCCGTTTTGCCGCTTTTAACCCACCTTTATTTATTGAGTTACCCCTCAGCCTTGCACGAGTTCATTCTCAATCTCAAAGTTTCGTGAACTGCTGGGTTAGTAATCCGACTCTTGTAGGTATGGAAACCGCTTTCCACGCTCCTCCCCCTGGCATGTGTCGTCAGTACTACCTGTTATATCTCATTTCAAAGAGCCGCCTCACTGCTCTTCGTCTACCAGTCGTCCTCACTTGCCCACCCTCATTATGAACCTTCATTTCTTGAATTACCCTCTCCCGTCACCTTGACCTCTCCTTTACTGGTATTAACTCTTCGCTGATGAAATCTGCTGCTAATGAAATGCACCTGCTGATGGAATGCACCTGCTGATGGAATGCACCTGCTGATGGAATGCACCTGCTGATGGAATGCACCTGCTGATGGAATGCACCTGCTGATGGAATGCACCTGCTGATGGAATGCATCTGCTGATGGAATGCACCTGCTGATGGAATGCACCTGCTGATCTTGTTGCTGTTTCCCCTTCCCCCGCCTTGTTTCCACCTACCCTTTCCCAGGATGTGTTCTTCGATCCAATTGCACTGGCCTGCGGGCACATCTACTGCCGTTCGTGCGCCTTGTCAGTGGCGAAAGTCGCCGCCTTTGAAGACATTCGCATGGCGTCACCCCACATCACATGCCCAGTGTGTCGCCAGGCCGATGTTTTCGGGGGAATGGTGTCCTTGCGAGAGCTGCATCGGCTTATAATGGCTCGGCAGCCGGAGCAATGGAAGGAGCGGAGGGATGAGGAGTTGAAGCAGAGGCTGGCAGAGGCGAGAAAGTATATGGATGAACAGATGAGGGTGGCTTTGAGATTGCATTGAGATGGAAGAGATGCAGTGCAGTTATGTGCCCTTGGTGTCCACAAGGACTCTCTGGGGTAATAGGAGTGCTGTGGCTAGAAGTGAGCCACGGTGCTTTCAGCTGGTCTGGACGTATATTGTAAAATTTATTTATGTAGTAAGCAAATAATTCTCGTGCATATTTTTATCTTGTGAATTGTGCTTGCGGCTGGCTGCCTTCTTTCTGTTCAAATATAATTTTTGAATCTCGGGTCTTGGCCAACCAGCACGCGCTTCGATCCGTTCATTCAAACCACGCGCGGCTCCAGCACATCCACTCGCTCACCCACCCAGCCTACCCCCAACGAGAAGAAATTGGATTTTGAAATGTCGAGTTCGATTTGTCGCGTTTTGAAACTTTGTTTTCTTCACCGCTAGCCACCCCACAACACCCATCTAGCTGCTCTCATTCTTCAGGTGGAACTCGAAAAGTTGAAATCCAGATTGTTGAATTTGAATTTGCGCAATCTCATGAGGCCAATTTCGCGACCCGAGAACTCTCCTCTCCTCTCCTCCTCCTCTCCGCTCCTCCGCTCTCCCCTCCCCTTCTCTGCTCTGCGCGACCAGCAATCAAGGCGACCAGACAATCACGAGGAGAAGAGGCAGGCGAAAACTCACAGCACAAGCAAACGCCAGAGGTGGTAAACAGCGGGGTGGGATAAAGCACTCGCATTTTTCATTCTCGGCGCACTCGATGATCCCCATGCCGCCACGCCGCAATGCTCCCCCTTCCCGTGCAAACTACCTTCCACAGCGACCCTTCCATAGCTTGGACCCCTCAGCCGTACGCCAGCCTGGTATAAAGCCCGTCAGTCGAACGGGTAATCCATAAACCGCCGATACTCACAGCTCCAAGGCCGCATTGTCTTTCCGTAGTAGCAACTGCACGACAGCCATTTCTCTCACCTTCGAGGCTGCATTGTTGAAGCAGTTCTAAGCGCTTCTCGTGTCCTTCCCTCCACTTCACTGCAGGGGTTCGTCCTGAGATCACCAGCTCGTTCCTAGCTCGTATTGTCGAGGCAGTTCTAAGGGTTCGTCGTTTGCTTCCCTCCACTTCACCGCTGGAGCTCGCCTTGAGCTCAGCTTGAGCTCACTGTTTCGTTTCAAGCTCGGTCGTCGAACGTGTCTCGCGTCTGCGACTCGCAGATCAACTGATAGCTTTGTTCCACGCTTCTCCGTCCCGACTCGCGAACCCGGCAGCCTTCGCCTTTCGCCATTCCCAAGACGTTTCGAAGCTCTTCCTCCTCTATCAGTTATCGTCGGCTTGCCTCGTCGCCGTTCTACCCCCAATCTTTGCAGCACTAGATGCATCTCCTAAGTGTTTCGAGTCTCCCATACGCAGGGAGTTTCATTAGTGAGTGAGCTTCATTTCGAAGCGAGCGTCATTTGAGCCCATTTGAAAGATCGCATCAATTAAGCCCGTTTCAACGCTTCTTTTGAAAGCTTGCGTCATTTGAAAGCCTCATATGAAAATGGCGGAGTTCGCAATCGGCGAGACGCCTTCTCCTCCAACGTCCGCCTCACTCACCTCCGCCGACACACAAGCCACAAAAATCCTCGTTACAGATAGGGACGTTTCTGCACACAGGGACTCGCAAGCCTCGATCGAAAAAGCGCAGTCTGTGCACGGCCAATTCGTTACCAACAATCTCAACCGTACGGACTATCGATTCGACGATCAGAATCGGCCCGCACCCTCGTGGTCCCCCGCCTCCGGACGGACGCCCAAACGCGTTCGCGTCTTCGCGCCTCGAAGCGCGATCCGACGGCTACCAGAGACAGTCTTGTCGCTCATCTTCCAGAAGCTTCCGCCTGCTGACGTGGCTGCGTCGTGCGCGTTAACCTGCCGGCAATGGCGGCGAGTGGCAAGCGATCCGTTTCTCTGGCAGGTGCGTGCGATTAGGCCGCTAACTATCCCTTGTGTCGCGCCATGTCGCACTGATGTCGCACTAATATTGCGTGCTCAATCGGGAACGCGGCCTTTACACTGGTGGTCCACCCACTTCCCTTGATCGTTCTTATCTCCCGTCCTTCTCCTCCCTCCTTCTCTCGCTGGTTCAGATGTTCTGCCAGGGCAACGGGTTGACAGAAGACGACACGCACCTCGTTCTGGGCGGCTGGCGCGGCCTCTACGAGCGAATCTTCGGCGCGAATCTCGTCGGCTGCCCACACTTCGAGGGAATCGACCATATAGATACGGATCGAATTAAATCCGCGCTAGACGACGACCCGTACCCGCCCTTCGAACCCACGCATCGAATCTATAAGGAGCGGCTGTTCACGTTGGGGGAGACGGAGGAGGAACCAGCGGCAAGGTCGTATTGGGCGCTAGAAGGGGGAGGATTAGTGTTCCATCGAGGGGGGTCGCATAGATTGGTCCGGCAGGTGGTGTTTGGGAAGAGGGATACTTTGCCGTGGTTACCCGGGACGAGGGGTCTAGAGGTGGAGAAGCACAGGGTGAATTACCCCGGAGGAGGGGTGAGGATTGGTGGGGTTGATTGTACTGAGGGAAGCAGCAGCATGGTGCTGTGTTCCTATGGCGAGAGTTACAGCACCCTCCAGCAGTCTATTGGGGTGAAGAGTTTTGGCTGCCCGTTTTTGGATAGCTGCCCGCTGATTGAGGTCTCAGCATGGTGCTCTGCTCTGGAGACAGGTGAGGGGAGAGAAACCACGGGCAATCAACACATGGCAGGGGGTGATACGAGTAATAACGGGGATGCTCTTAAGGGGGACAATGTGGTGTTACAGCGTGCTGGGGGTAGTGATGGGCGTGGTAAGATCAGGGGTTCGAACCATGTTGCTGGTAACAGTACAGATGCCATTGCATGTAACAGTTCAGGTAACAGTTCTGGCAGCAGCAGGTCAGGTGGAAATTCAGGTGGCACTTCAGGTGGGACACATTCAGGTGATGGCAGCAGAGAGGCAGCGGGAGGGGTGGGTGCAAACACATCAGCAGCAAGAACAGCAGCACCAGGGGGAGCAGGAATTGGAGGAGGAGGAGCAAGAGGAGGAAGAGGAGGAGGAAGAGGAGGAGGAAGAGGAGGAAGAGGAGGAAGAGGAAGAGGAGGAGGAAGAGGGGAAGGAGTAGGAAGAGGAGATGCAGAGGGAGAAGGAGCAGGAATTATAAACAGAAATAGCAGCCAGAAAAACAGCAGCCGCAGCCAGTTCAGAATTCAGTTAGTGCTCAAGGATGCTTCCAAGCAAGTTCTCTCCGTCTGGTAAAGCTTCCTACTCTCTCTCATCCACCTCCCTCCTCCCCTGCTCTAGCCCGCTCTCCCCACCCGTTCAACGCAACCCCCGTTGCCAACACTTTGCCCTGCCCTTCCCACTATCCCATTCCCCCCACTCTTCTTTCTCTGCCCTGCATCACTCCCACACCCCTCCTTTCCTCTCCCCTCCCACCCCTCCTCCATCCATGCTTCACATCAGTTCTCATGCATCCCAGGTAATGGCCCCTCTAGCTTCACATCAAGTTTCATGTGATGCTTCACATCTGGTCTCATCTCATGTGTTCCCATGTGACTGTCCCTCTGGCCTTCCATGTCCATGAGCCGTACAATTCCCATCTGACATGCCATGAGTTCCCATGGGATGGTTCCTCTTGCTTCACATGGGTTCTCGTCTCATGTGTTCCCATGTAACTGTCCCTCTGGCCTTCCATGTCCATGAGACGTACGATTCCCATCTGACATCATTTTCTTTTGCATATCCATCATTCTGTTTTTTCATCCTCCATTTCCCTTGTCTGCTTTCTTATTTTCTGTACCAGGGACTCTGGAAAAGTGAACCCACCTCACAGCAAATGGATCCAAGTGAAGGGCACCATATCAGCCTATCCCAAGGTACGCCCTCCTAATCCATTCTTATAAAACAAAGGCTTGCTTTTCCCTCACTATGCCATCGTCGTTATGCAAAAGGTCGCCCTTAGCCTGGTCAGTTAAATACATCTATGTTGTGTTTTCTTTCATTCCAGGGTCTACAACACATGACCGTGCGACTGGCAGCTGCAAATGTTCAGATCACTGCAATCAGCGTGCGCTTTGTTGCACGGAATTGCAGGTAGTGTGCTTACTTGACGTTACCGTAGAATTTAGAAAAT